GAGAGAAGTGGATGGCGATAATGCCCTTTAAAAGTCAGTCATTTACAAATTGATAACTGTTTTCCAAAAAAGAACGAGGCGGCTTTGAAGATAACGAATGAATTGGCAGACCATCAGCGTCAGTTCGCGTGAAACAAAATCGATGCGATTCGAAATTTAATTAAGGGTGACCGACGACTAACAGAAGAAATAATAACTAACACCCAAGCCATTACGGTTCGTTTAACCAGATAATTTTATCTAAAAATTAAAGTCGAGTAAACTTTCTGCTCGTTGGATATCAAAAACCATGGCCCACAAATCAGCAACAGACAAGAGTACAGTTTTCAATTTCAATTTGATACAAATAGGATCAAATCCTGAAAAGTGTGTGTGTGTGTGTGTGTGTGTGTGTGTGTGTGTGTGTGTGTGTGTGTGTGTGTGTGTATTTAGGCAGTAAATTCCCTTTTAGGCATGTCAGATTGAATGAATTACAAGCATTAATTCTGCTTATTTTTATCATAATCCTTTCATATTCATAATGGTAATATATGGAAAAATATTCTTTAATATGAAAGGATTTTATAAAAAATAAGCAGACATAATGTTTGTAATTTATTCAAGCCGACATTTCGTATATATATATATGGCAAGTAAAATGTAATCAAGTGTCCGCATGAAGACTTCAAATGTAACATGTAGCGACTTCTCTTGAAAATGGACAAAATTTGGCAACATGGTGTTAACAAGTACCCGTAGAAAACAAAGGGTTTAGCCCCCAAAGATATTGATGCTGACATTGTTGCTACATTAGGGTACGTCACTTCAGTTTTATAACACGGTACGAAAGTGGGCAGGTGAATTTAGGAATGAATGGGACACTCTTGAACATAACTCAAAGTCTGGAGGTTCTGCGACTGGCACCAAAGAAGAAAACATTGAACGTCTTCACCACATGGTAATGGATGACATGCGACTGACTATTAATCAAATTGCCAATGCTATCAGCATAGCCCGTGAGAGAGTCGAGAATATTCTGAGCCATGAACTTTGCATAACGAAGCTTTCTGCTCAGTGGGACTCACATATTCTAACACCAGTCTGATCACAACGCGGGAAAATCTAGCATTGTTTGAGGCAGATCCGGCTGGTTTCCTTGAAAGTTTCCTAACAGTAGATGAACATTGGATTCATCGCTTTTTGCCAGAGATAAAGAGATAATCCATGCAGTGGAAACGGCACCTGCTCCAAAGGAGGTCGTTTCATCTGCAGAGAAATTGATGGCCTCAGATTTTGGTGATGCAAAAGGCATTGTGCTTATTCCCTCTCTTCAAAAGGGCCACACCATCAATGGAGAGTACTATGCCAACAGGCTTCGGCCGTTACGAAAGTCTGTCAAGACCAAACGCCTAGGAAACGGTGTCTTACGTCGTTGTTTTCAATAGTTGTGTGTCTGTGGCTTTAAAATCTCTTGATCACCCTCCTTATTCTCCTGATTTGACTATCATCTGTTCCCCAACATGAAAAAACACTTGGCCGGGAAGCAGTATCGCAGTGGTGATGGTGTCATAACTGCTGTTGATGACATTTTGACCAACAGGTTGGGCAGTTTTTTAAACAGTCATATATTAATTTACCTGGAAAGAAACAATGATGTTTTTAATAAGACAATTAATCAATGCATGCAAGATTTCACAGTTCCAGGCTCCCTCTTCCATAGCCTATAAACCTTTCAGCCCACCGTCGTGCCTGGAAAGATACTATGTAGTTTTAATAATACATTTTGGAATTAATGCATGCAAGGTTTCACAGTTCTAACAACACACTTTCACAGTCAGATTATGAACTTTTCAGCCCACCCTTGTACCTGGAAAGAAGCAATTCAGTTATTAATAAGAAGAGCTGAAATCAACACATGCAAGATTTCACAGCTCGAGCATCTCTCCTTCATAGTCAGCCTATAAAATTTTCAGCGTACCCTCGTATTTCAAATCTCGGATTTTGACTACTTTCTTTCAAAGTATCCTTTCCTGAGAATATAGCAGTTGGCAAGAAATGGTTATATGTTTATTATTAATGATATCGTCTGGATAATCTTGCAAATATTGGTAATTATTGATAAATATATTTGGGCAGGTCTTCATGAGTTTGTATTAGGTTTCGCAACTAGCGGCCAAACCTATAGTCCTTCATACGCTGACAATTCCATTTCTATTCAGGGAAGTAATTCCCAGTGCGATGGTTTCGATAAGTACTCGAAATTCTATACGGTATAATTCGAATGTTCAAGACTATCTGTATCGTATATGTCGGCGTACAAGTCGACCTTTTAACCTTAAAAAATCCTGACAAAAATAAGGCACTGTCTTATAGTCCACGTATAAAACGCGAACCTTAAATCCAGTCGTTTATAGTAACTATCGACACTAATATTTTCTACTGAAACGCATTATTATACTAAAATAATAAATTTAGTGTATTAAACGTACTCTAGGCCACAAAAATCTCCTGAGCCGACCAAGCATAGAAATGAATTCAATATGGGACCCAGTAATAAAGGAGTGCCAGAGAAAAGCGATAATAACAACAAAAATTGCAATATTAGCTCTGGTAAAGACATGTAATGATAACAGCAAAAATTGCAATATGAGCACTGTTAAAAATCGGTGCTGAAGACATTAGGTTTATAATAGCCAGAAATTCATACACGGATCTCCTCAAGGACACATGGAACAGTGGATAAAGGCGTTAGTTAGATCCAGTGAGTTCAATACCCGGTCAAGGCAGTGGAGATAACTGACAACTGACATCCATTAAACATGGCACGTGGAACTAGAAGAGTCTACCCCAGTCAGCGAAATAAAGGGTTCAGTTCGACATTCCATTCTGAAGAACGAAGCGTACAACGGCTGAAACGTTGTAATAAATAGGAGGACAATAGTCCGAATAATGTAAATAGTGTGCATAATACCTCATCTCAGAAATATAGACAGATACATATCTTACCTTATATAATATGTGTTGTGACGTGGCTGGATATTTGGCGGAACTGACGTTTGGCCAAAAAAGTACAAGTAAAAATAGTAACAATAAATACATTAAGTATTTTAATTAGTAGTATTATAAGGTAGAATACGAATAATAATTACCACTGGATTTCAAGTGATTACTAAATCTAAATTTAAAATTAAAAGTTTTCTTATTTCAATATTTGTTTATTGAAACTAATATTTTAAAAAATATTTGAGTGTATTTGGGTAAAAAGTAGCACCTAATTATTTAAATTCGTATTTAACAGTAACATAAAAGCTAGTCCATCCCTTTGAGATAATTATAATTAAAAGAGAAATTGAAAGATCATATCGTAAATGTTTAATATTTTTACTGTAGTAAAATATGCTTTTTCCCAAATACTTATCATCTTACAGTAATATTTGAAGTAAAATATAATATATGCAGAATAGATTTAAAAAAAAAAAAGCTTGTAACAAAAAACAAAACAAAAAGACGAAAAATTATAATTTAATACAGTAGATAAATATAAATACATGTCGCACATTACGATGAAAAGTGAGGGACGACATTTTTGACTACATATCCATTAGATTAAATGTCCGTCGGCCAAATGTCCGAGTATCGTGCTGTGACTGCGCGACAACAATAAAACGCATATTCGTCAAGAGAAATTCCAAACCATCGTCATACAAGATCGCATTCGAGAACAGTGAAGCGAATGGATGGTTAGAAGGGAAAGTTATTCAGGCTAATGTAATAGCCAAATCGAAAACACACCATCCACTCATGAGGTATTGTAGATTGTGGTAGTTAATTGGCAATATCTCGCCTCCTGTTTCCGATGATGTTCAACAAAAACAAAACTGGTTGTGTGTCTCCAGAAGCCGTTTAAAGATCGCAATCGAGAACAATGGAACGAATGTCTGGTTAGCGGTGGAAAGACATTTAGACAACCGTAATAGCCTACCGAAAACACAGCACCAACTCATGAGGTATTGAAGATTGTGTGACAATATCTCCACACCGTTTTGTCATTAGAATTTGAGTGAAAAGAAAGTACATGCTTATCAAATTCATTTAATAAATTCAATACATTCTAAAATACGATATTGTATGGGGATTGTCTTGTACGACGAGTTTAGTCCGAAACCCACATTTTAACTTGAAAATATGAAGGTCGTCTTATACACTCGGTCGCCTTGTACGCCAGCACATAGAAGACAGTGTTTTGTCGTTGACAAAATTGCCGAAAATGCTTTCTTTACAAATGCACAGTAAACAAATTTCTTTTTGAAGGTAATGAAATTTTTATAATTTAATGTTACTATTAAGAGCAAGTAGATTTATCTATCGTACGATTCACACTCCTACACGGCTTTTGAACAGGAAGTAGTATAGGTTTCCTGTTTAGAACTGAATTTCCGGTTCCTTCTAAGTTCTACCTCAACTCTATATTTCCGACGTGGCCGTCATAATTCTGAAATGTTATTTTCTACTTATTTACTCTTTTTTTTCTCACTCAATGGGAGTAAATAGGTGCGCCTATCGTTCGGTTCACACTCCTCCCTGTTTTTTGTAACAAGAGCAGATGTTTATCCATTGTTTGCTGTTTAGGGTTCGGTTTCCGGTTCGTTTTAATTTTTTTTTCTCTTCCCTTTCACTTTCAGTAACCCCCTTTCGTCTTAGTAGCATCATCGCCTTACTTGGGGTGAATTGATTAAAAAAAATAACTTTGTGGGTGTAGAACCAGCGAAAAGCGGAACGCTTATCGGAAATTAAAATCAACGAGCTGAGTTCAAATACGTTCACCTTCTTGGGGAAGCCGTGAACTCATTTTCTCTCCTGCCAGTTATAAGTAAAATAGCAAGGTAGACTTGACACTAAGCTTGGTTTGCATTTTTTTTCCAGTCGTTCCCGTAAGTTAAGCCTGGTCAATAACTAGATGGGTGACCGTTTGTAAATACCAGGTGCTGTAATCTTGGATGTGTGACTGGTATAAAGGGCTTAGGGCCACATCACGTTGAAACACTGGTTCCTGTACGATCGCCGTAGTTAAGCAACGACGAGCCTGGACAGTAGCTAAATGGGTGACCGTTTGAGAATGCCAGGTGCTTTAAGCTTGAATGTGCGGATGTTATATCTTATGGCTATATCACGTTGAAATACTGCTTCTCGTACGATCACGAAAGTTAAGCAATGCCAAGTCTGGTCAGTAACTAGATGGATGACCACTTGGGAATAACAGGTGATGTAAGATGGATGCGCGGTTTTTTATGTCTTACGGCCACATCACGTTGAAACACTGGTTTCTATACAATCACCAAAGTTAAGCAATGTCAAACCTGTTCAGTAAGTAGATTGATGACCGCTTAGGAATACCAAGTACTGTGAGCTTGCATGTTCAGGTGCTATGTCTTATGGACATATCACGTTGAAATTCCGGTCTTCGTACGTATGAATCCACCTCTTCTGCCCCCAACTATGGGTTAATTAGCAAAACTTGTAATCACTAAAATCATTATTATCTCAAAAAATAAAAATAAATTGCGTACAAAAGATTTTGGCATTAAATAAGATTAAGATTGCGTACAGATTTTGGCATTAAATAACCCATAGAGATGTTGATATATTTCAAAACACCCCAACCAAATCTTATTTTTCTCGCCCCTTTTTTAATCTTGTTAAAAGTCTGTCTTCCATAGATATGCACATTTTTCTTTAATAAGAGTTTTCGAATTTTCAGGCTCGTAGACAAAAATAAATAATTATACCGTTTAATAACTAATCCGAGCGTCTATTCAGATATGCTTATTCACTGAAAATAATCTTTAAGTAATAAAATACTGAATGGTGCAATTTTTCTAAGCTATGAATATATACATTAAAGAAAAAGCGAAAACCGTTAATGGAAACATCGGACAACTTGCCAAAATTTATCCAGCTACAGTCTCGAATAAAAACAACAATACTGAAAAAAGAAAAAGAAAAAAAAAGCAGCGTAATGGTCAACTTACTTACTCAGTAAAGTGCTCCAAGCCTAGAGTACCTAGACAGAGCAAAATACACTTACCAATATTAAATCCTATGAAAGGATTGTAGTAGAAACTCGCGTTTAGCTCACACGCAATATAAGACGACTTGACGTGAAGGGCAATATATATATATATATATATATATATGTGTGTGTGTGTGTGTGTGTGTGTGTGTGTGTGTGAAAATATATAGAAAATAAGAAAGAACTCGTTAGGTAAATAATCCAAAGTTCTTTAGTATTTTTGTTATTATTTTTAAAAAATAGTGCTCGATACAAAAATAGAGCATAAATATAATTATTTATTTGAAAATATGATTCCAACACGCTACATAAGAGTTCTCATGTTTCAAAACAAGAGCCGAAAACTTCAATATAACTATTTGAATTAAATTGAATTAAAGTAAGCTCTGTTCCATCTTCAAGCGAATTTTTTTTTGGTGGGGGGAATAACTTATTTCTGAAATTTACGTGTTTTAATAGCATATTCAATATTGAAATAAAAATTTCCATGGTAACGGCTAGAGCGATTGTTTAAATAGAAAGGGGTGTAGGGCGTTAATAATTTGTATCAGTATAGAGTTACATTCATAGATGTCAAGTCAGGGTAAGGTTGGGTTGTCTAAATTTAAAACGGAAGATGATTTCGCCTAGTCTGGTTTACGTGTCTATGGAGATTTTATTTTTTCTGAAAGGGTTTTGTGTATATAAAAAAAACTGCCGTAACATTTGTTTTTTGACGACTTCATAAAGGGTTATCTTTTTTTGTAGGGTATATATATATATTGAACAATAAAAAATATTAATTAAAATCTTCAGACACACTGGGTTGTATCTTAATATTCCTTCGTTTTTATTATTATTTCATTTAGATTCCTCGACTAGTTTCGGCCAACATGGCCATCATCAGATGAAAAATAATTTTCTGCTTGCTATTGTTATTTGAGCTGGATGGATTCATGCTATTCTGAATTCCCTTGGTCATTTTAACAGTTTTATTGGTTTATATATATATATATATATATATATATATATATATATATATATATATATGCAATGGAAGCTATGTTTGGGCAAGGGAATAAGATGCAATTGTTCTCGGTAGTTTTCTTTAGAGTACCATTTCTGGTGCAATGGGGCTTTCAACGAGACAGTGTTGAAATACAGTGTTCCTGTACGTTCACGAAAATTAATCAAGGTCGAGTCTGGTTAGTAATTAGCTCGGTGTTCGGTTGAATACCTGGCATACCAGGTGCTCTATTTTTGGATATGCGGATGGTGTACTGGATAATGGCTCGGAATTGTTAATCGGAGAGCCGAGTTCCAATTCCCGTTAGATCCTTTATATTCACTTACGCGCGAAGACCATAGTTTGATGACAGCTTATGAATACTAAATTCTCTATGTAACGATGTGCGAGGATATGTCTTACGATCATATCATGTTGAAACACCGATTCTCGTACGATCACTGATGCAACGTCGAAACTGTTTAGGAATACCAGTCGCTGCAACCTTGGATGTGCGCGTGGTGTAATATATAACTGCTTCGAATTAGAAATCGGAATGTCAGGTTCCTATTACACTCAGATTTTTTTTTTTTTTGTCAAAATCTCTATATTCATATTAGAAGCATCAGATCAGCAATATCCAGTGAGTGGATAAAATAAAATACTGAATTATTTAATGTTATTTGAACTTTCAAATGTATTTGTCATAATCTTTAACACCAAACATCAAGCAATTTCAACTAAAATAATGAGACCTATCTGCCAATCTAGTACTGCGTTTTAATCCGTCAAATCTAGGTACCAAAATGTACCAACTTTCCTTGCAGTAGACATGAAAGCGTAGAGTGTTGCTCTCCAAGAGTTTAAAATCATCCATGCTGATGTCAGGTAGAAAAATTTCTCTGTGGAGTTTAATATTAATTTATTCTCTTGTTAGAAAAAGAATCCACACTCGTATATATTTACACTACATATGCAATTTATAGTTTATAGGTGTATATCCAAAGCACATAAAATTTCTGTAATGTCATGTTAATAACCAAGAACTATTATTCGTTTAAAAAAAAAACACCTTGGTTTTGCTGGGGTTTGAAAACCGATATCGACTACGAGATAGCTGACATACAAATAAATTATTTAAACCACTTCAAGGTTTTAAGGTAAGATATTTAATGTCTGTAAGCTAGAATTTACGTAATACCGCTCTTTCTGAAAAGAAAGGAAAAATTCGGTTGTAAAATATTATCATAATGACGATATTTAGGCTCGGAGCTACCTTTATTGTTAAAAATATCAAGCCAACCAGCGAGAGACAGGAAAAACAAACTGACATTACGTATGGCTCAATAAGCAGAGACTATTAAACAATGTGCAAAATAGCCTGAAGTGTTTCTTTCAAATAAAGTGAATTGCGCATGCGTGAAACTTTTCAGTCTTTTCAAATGCCACTCACACATTTGTTGTTAGTTTTATCAAAGATGGCTGATAGCAAAAAAAAAAAAGAGTTTAATGCCAAATGAAAGGGAAAAACGAGTCTTTTTTCTGGTGAAATTGGGGAATTATATCTGCTCTTCAGTCACTATTGGAAATGATTTTTAGCAGAACAAATGCTAAAGGTTCTAAAAGAACCACTAAAAAAGAAAACTACAGTAATCCTTCCTGGTCTGTTCTGAGACCACTGCCTATCGATATATATATAAAGCTCACGTATATTACGAAACCCTATAGATACTATTTTCTCTGTAGATATATTGTTACGGTAACGTTTAATTCAGATTGCATATAGTAAGTGACGAATAATAATGACTTATAATAAAATAGTTTTATTGTACAAATATGTTATAATAAAAGTTATATGATGGATAGAAGAATCGTTCTTATTGTAGATTTTATTAGGCACAATAAAAGATTTAAGTACAGTAATCTGACTATCTTATATACAAATCTCCTGTAATCCGATCAGTATCTTTTCTGTTTAAGTCATGTAATCCGAACGTCTTTTTATATACAAGCCCTGTAATCTGAACCTGTTAAAAATAAATATGTATTCTAACCATCTTTTTTATAAAAAAACTGTTTTAATCTACCTATCTTTTCTAAGAAATTCCTTTAATCCGTCTATCTTTTCTAAGAAACCCCTTTAATCCGTCTATCTCTTCTAAGAAACTCCTTTAATCCGAGAATCTTTTTAAGCAATTCCTTTAATGCCACATTCTTTTTTAAACAATTCCTTTAATCCGACTATCCTTTTTAGAGACTCCCTTAATCCTACTTTCTTTTTTAGTTAACTTCTTTAATCCGACTATCTTTTCTAAACAACATCTTTAATCGGATTGTCTTTTCTAAGTATCCCCTTGAATTTGACTACCTTTCCTAATCAACTCCTTTAATCCGATCATCATTTCTAAGCAACTTCTTTAATCCGACTATCTTTTCTAAATAACTCCTTTATTGGGATTATCTTTTCTAAGCAACTACTTTAATCCGACCATATTTCCAAGCAACTTAAATCCGACTATCGTTTTTAAGCAACTCCCTTTATCCGACTGTCTTTTCTAAGCAACTCCGTTAATCTGACTATCTTTCCTAATCAACCCCTTTAATTGGATTATTTTTTCTAAACAACTCTCTTAATCCGACCATATTTCCAAGCAACTCTTTGAAGCCGACTATTCTTTTTAAGCAACTCCCTTAATCCAATTGTCTTTTCTAAACAACTCTTTTAATCGGATTATCTTTTCTAAGCAACTCTTTTAATCCCACTATCTTTTCTAATCAACTTCTTTAATCCGATCATCATTTCTAAGCAACTCCTTTCATCCTGCTATTTTTTCTAAGCCAAATCTATAATCCGATCATGTTTCATGTTCACGTGCTGCTATCTTGCTAAATTTTTTTTAATTCTATGCAAAAAAGTTGATCAACATAAAAAAAAGCTGTTCAATTTACATTTACTTCCTTGATGTCACCTAAAAAAATTTTCCGACGTCAGAATCAGTTTAACTCTCTCGGTATCGCCGTCAAACAAAAAAAAACGGTGGCAAATATAACGAAATACTTCGAAGGAACATTG